TGATCTTAGGAAGGCCTTGTAGCCAACCAGACTTGACACTGGGCAACTTTGCCCTTCCCAACAGCTTCCCAATTTTTAAACTACAGTCTGCCTCTCTTTTAAAATATGTCTTCCAAAACCCCCCCCGCCCAAAAAAACCCAAAGTCTTCTAATGCAAGTTACTCTTTCCTTAAATCTTTATCAATGCTTGCCCCATCAAACTTTTAAAAAAGTAACACTAGTTTTAAATATATAAACTGATCTTTAAAAATAATTGATATATTTCTGTGCTGCTTCTTCCCTGATAAATGTAGAATTAATGATAAATGTTTGTGAATATATCAATATCAATATTGGTATATGGTATCCCATCTTCTGATGTAAGCCAATGTGTAATTCTCCAGCCTGGTTCATTAGTGCCTAGTTTTGCAAAAACCAAAATAATTTTAATTTTTAATGGAACTTGAGATGGCTAGATCACATTCAAGATAGTAGATTGTCACTTCCTCTAGATCCTGGCAATTCTCAAACCCTCCAGAAAGGGGAATATGCAGCAGATATATAACAATTAAAACTGAATCCACTGTAAGAAGAAAAAAAAAAAACCCTGATAACAATGTAAAATCCTTTTGAATTAACACCAGAAAATCCTAATCCTTAAAGTACTCACTTAACACTGCTTGCACACCAGGCTTCACAGATCCCTACAGAGACACAAGGGACATAGGCTTATTCACAGACTTATCCCTGCAGCTCATCTTGGGATCCCCTGCCCTTAGACTTTGTGGGAGCTTCTCACTCTCTCTCTAGTCCATCCACACATAGCTGATGTTGGAAGGGGTGGGCTTGTGTAGCACTAGAAACATGCTGCTTTCTGAATGTGGTCTGGCCCTAGGGACTCCCAACGCTGCAAACACTTTACCCAGAATATCCTTCCTACCCCACAGAAACTAGCAGATGTTGATTCAGACCAGCCACAGAAGAGAAAGAGGAGAACCAAGGCAGAAATCCAGGCAGAGACCAGGTTGCTGGGGGCACAAGGCCTAAAGGAAAAGAGAGTAAAATGCCTCTGGGAACAGTTCTGTTTCCCCCACCTTATTCTCTTCAGAGGTTATCAGGGCAGTGACATAGTGTGAATCCTATGTCTATGGCCCTTAAGGTTGAGACTGGCTAAGAAGCAAGAAAATGAATGAAGAGAATACACACACACACACACACACACACACACAAACACAAAGCACTAAAACACCTAAGATCTCAAGGGGAAAACCCTCAATTAAAGTCCAGAGCACAAGCAAGTAGCTCAACAAAGAGATTCTAAAACCAGAAGGAAGGATGAATAATAAATCCTCAGAGAGAACAAATACTATGAGACAAAGCAAAGAGAAAACTTTTCCTGTAATGCAATACAGTACAGAATTCTATGAATCCCAAGAAAATACACTACAAGAGACCCCAAAACGGTTAAAAAGAAAAAAAAGAGAGAGAAATGAAATCCATAAAATGAGAAATTGAGAGTGAACATAGGTCAGAATATAGAGCTCACTATGCAGAATTTTAAAAATCAATAATGAGTAGTAAATACAAGGAATGTAAATAAAATACACATACTTAAATGGAAGCTTAGTACCAAAATACTGAATATATGATCCAAAGAATAAGTTACAGAAATATTAACTACATGAAAGACAATTATAATGATAATGCAATATGCCAACATTTGTAAAAGGCAGTTAAAGTAGTCCTCAGAGGAGAAGTTATATCCCTGAAAAACAAACTAACAGAAAATTAATTAATATAGTTTAAAAAATAATAAAATTAACACACAATTAAAATGAGAAAAATAAAAAACTAATCCAAAATAAGTACAAAACATCAAATTATTAAAATTAAAGAAGGTAATAAATTAGAAACCCCAAAAATGATAGAACTGAAAATTAAAATTGAAAGTTTGTTCTTTAAAATTAGTAACAAAATTGATAAACCTTTAGCCAAGGCTTATCAAATATAAAAGAGGGAGAAAATTTAATTAACAAAAACATAAAATGAGATGAAATCACAAGAAGAAATAAAAAGCATTATCAGAGCCTACTATATTCAGTTATATGCCAAAACAATTGATAATTCAAAAGAAATTGGGAATTATCTACAAAAATATAAAATGTGTAAATTACCAGAATACCAAATCTAGATCTTAAATAATCTAACTTCCAAAAAGGAAATTTAACTAATTGTAAGATAACTACCACAAAAGGGAAAAAAATAACCCCACTGGTCTAGAGGAATTTACCAGAGTCTATCAAACTTTTAAAGAACTATTAATATATAATATACAAAGTAGTCTCAACAATTGAGATAGTACTCTACCAAACTCCCTTTATGAGATCAACATGTTCCTAATACCTAAATCAGAGGATAATATAAAGAACGGACTATAGACCAACAGCTTTTATGAACATCTATTCAAAATTTTAAAACAAAATCCCAGCAAAGAAAAGAAAACATAAAAGTATGAAAAAAGAAATCATTCAATATAATGTAGTTGGACAAGAATACAAAGACGGTTCAATATTAGGAAAACAATTTGCATAATTAAATACAAAAAATACCAAATCATATGAATAGCTGAATAAATGTAATAACAACAAAAGACTTTGGAAAAAAGATACAACACTCATTAATGATAAAACCCTAAAAACCCTAGACTTACAAAGACCTCTTTTTTTTTTATATGAAAGTATCTATTTTAAACCAAAGTCTATCATTATATACAATAGGGAAACATTATAAGCTTTCTCAATGAATAGAAGAGTATAGCAAGAATGTCTTCTTTTCCTACTGTTGACATAGTACAAAAAAAAAATACTAGTAATGGCAATAAGGGGACAAAATTAAAGGAAGAAGGATAGGTGAAGAGGAGGCAAACCTATCCAAATTTGTTGATGACCTTATAGTTTGCTTAGGACTACACTCAGGGCTAAGTCACATCACTAACAATACTAATAAAATTAATTCGTAGATTTAGTTCTATTTCATCCAAGCTACCAAAAGGATACTTAGCACAGTGCTTGGCACATAGTAGGTATTTAATAAATAATAGTTGACTTGACTTTATAGAGCTAGACAAAATAATACCAAAATTAATTTGTAGGAACAAAAGATTGAGAGTATCAAGGGAAATAATGTGTATGGGGATAAGAGGTAGGGAGTAGTAGTGAAGGTGGAATAGTGCTTCTAGAACTCAAACTATGTTATTTATAATGTGACAATTGTTACATCTTTTTGGTACTGGTTAAAAATAGAAAAGTGGAACAATAGGAAAAGCTAGAGAGTGAAGATTCAGAAATAATTGAATTCAATTACCCAGCATTTGATAAACTCCAAATCATAAATGACCACAGAAAGAATTTTAAATTTGACAAGAATTTCTGAGAAAACTGGATAGCTGTCTGGCAGAAATTCGTTTTAGATCAGTATCTTATATTACATGCCATAATGAACAAAATGAATATTTTTGGTTACATGGACTGAATATTAAAGATCATTATCATCAAAAAAATTAGAAAAGAGCCAGATCAGGTGCCTTTCATAGTTATGGCTTATTGTTGAATTCTTAACCTAACAAGGGTACAAAAAAATTATAAAAGATAAATAGATAGCTTGTTACATGAATTTGAAAAACTTTTGCATGAACAAAATTAATGCAAGTAAAATTTAAAAAGTGATTAACTAGGAAAAAATCCTTATATCAAATATCTCTGATAAGTATCTGATATCCACGATATATAGATAACTAATAGAAATACATATATATGACCAAAAGCTAGTGACTTTTTTTCAAATAAATTACAAACTATTAACAATCATATGAAAGAATGCTTGACGTTAATAATAATAAGAGAAATGAAAATCAAAACAACTCTGGGGTTTTACCTCACACCTAGCAATTTGGCAAAGAGGACAAAATAAGGGAATAATCAATGTTGAATGTGTTGTGTAAAGAAAGGTACACTAATACATTGTTAGTGGAGCTGTGAATGGGTTCAACCATTTGGGAAAGTGATTTGCAATTATGTGAAGAAATTACCCTTTGACCCAGAAATTTCTCTAATACTAGACATATACCCCCAAAGAAGTAACTGACAAGGCCTCATATATACCAAAATATTTTTAGTGGCATTTCTTTTTCTTTCTTTCTTTCTTTCTTTCTTTCTTTCTTTCTTTCTTTCTTT